CATATTCAATAAGTAATCATATTTTGAACCGATTCTTCCTCAAACTACTTACTAAATTGTTATTTTATTGAAAATTATTTATTACGATTTGGTCACTAACATACATGACATAATAATTTCTTAACAATTACTCTATCCCTCGTTTTACACAGTTACAACTTTTCGCTTTTTCACGGTTTATAAAAAATAAATGTTGATATTTTTGTTGCGACTACAAAGCAATTCTGAAGTTTTTTTAAAACATCTAATGCCTCCATATGATTTAAATTTGTTAACGTTTCTAATTTACACCCTTCCGAGGTCGTCTCTCCAAGAACCTATGTACTGATCCGCTGGGACTCCGGTTCGAAATACATTATATTTTTATGTTCGACTCGTAACCTTTCTTGTTTTTTACCTGTCTTGCCGTATCTCTCTTATGTATATATTTTAGTAAGTTAGTTTAAGTTTGGTTTAATAGTTTCGTTTAATTAGTTTCGTTAGTAGAAATTGTTTATTTTGATTATTTGGACTGAAGAAGGAAGTTATGGTTTTATTGGAAGAAGATCTGTTTACTTTAATTATTTGGGCGGAAGAAGAAATCCGAAGAATAAGTGTTATTTTGGCTGACTTGTTGGTGCGTAATGCAGAAGCCAAATGAAGAAGTGGGAAGGAAGGTTTTTGTTTGCATACCTTCAAAAAGGTACAATTTCGATTTACATGTTTTTTCTAGAACCTCAAGTTATGAGGCAACTAAGAACAATGAATATATTTATAAATACATGGTTTTAAATAATTTTGAAAATATTCAAATGCAAATTTCTGTTAGATGAAATTTCTTGAAATGATTATTTTAAAGCAATATTTTCATTAATAAACAACATTTATTATATGCTTATTGAGCGCAAGTCAATCAGTTTTCTTTTATAAAGTAATTTATTTTTATTATATTTTAATAAACTACAAATATGTTTTTATATAAGCTATTATATAAGTAAAGAAGAGGAAAAAGAAAAAGATATTAGAAAAGCAGCATAAACTATACAGTAAATATTTATTAAGTAGATGTGATACCAGTATTATTTCATCAGAAAAAAAATATATAATTATAGACACACACAGTTTAGATACATACAATCGTTATATAACATATATAAGTATGCATTAATTAATTATATACATGAAAGAAAGCCAAAATTCACGTTTCTATATATAATGAACTAAAATTATGGTTTTCTAGCTCAGCTTTCAACTCGTCGAATACTTTCTTCACGTACATATCATCGATAATTTTAATTTCAACGCAGCTCCTACCCAAACCGTAGAAAGTCGGAGGCGACAATTTATCGGATTTGAAGCGCCAACCCAGATGTCCTGTGCACGTTTTGCATTTCAAAATGGTCCAATAATACCTGAAATCATCGCGAATGTTATAATATGTACCAAAAAATAAAAAAGAAAGAGTGGAAAAGAGTACCCCGGGAACCATGTGAACTTCTTGCTTGGATATCCTTCCAAAGACACGTTCTCGCATTCGGTAACGGTTAGAGTTTCGTAAACGATACCGAACGGATTGCAATAATTGCTCTGCACTCCGTCCTTCGACATCGCAAAGACTTTATCCAGTTCGGAGATGTATGATCCGCACCTGCTGCAGCATATATTACGTTTCTGTAAACGTAAATATAATTAATTTATTATTCGGTTAACATTAGAAAGAAATTTACCAAACGCAAAAAGCTCAACTCGAGCCTGAGTCGCTCCAGCGTAGTTCCAGCTGCGAGAATATTCAGTCTCTCCTCATGCGTCAATTGGAAGTTTTGTGCAAACCAATAAGACAACGTTAACGGATCTCGCGGTATATTATCTTTAATAAAATATTGGTAAATAATGTCCAATATCTTTTCTTTATAATATTCCTCTTCGTACATATCATACACGAAGCTGGCCTGATTGAATTGCGCTGCATGATACTTGCGTAATCTGAAAACAGGATGCTGTAAGAACAGCGCAAACGTAAACATAATAAAACGAGTACTTTCTGTTTTCTGGTTTCCATTCGATCGTCGCCCTGCGCTTCAAATTGTTCAGCTGCGTTGAGATGAGCGGTGAATATAGGTTGTAATCGCTGATGATCTGCACCTTGACACGTCGCATTCGATGCATCGAAGCTACAGGTACCTCGATTGGCGGTAAGATTCGACATCGCTGTCGGCCCTTCGCCTTTAGATGCACGGATTCCGCGTTTTTATCATTTGTTTCATACACTTCCATGACAACCCCATACTCGAAAATGCTGGTTTTGTTGTTACTGGAAACCAATCAACAATAAACATATTCAATGGAACAAAGATCTACACTACTCACTTGTAGCAAGTAAGTACAAATATGAAGCCGTCCTTGAGTTGTTTCTCCCAGCTGAAACTGTTTTGGATAACCAATGGTAATGTGAAGCCAGGAAATACCATGGTTTTAGTGCACATTGCATCCAGTTCAATGATCTGGCCATGGTCAAAAATGGTGTAACCACTTATATTCTCCAATTTACCTAAATACTAAAAAATATAAAATAAAAAATAATATCCTGAAATTAAACTATTTGCTTTAACTTACTTCATGAGTTGTGGGTAAGTTCCTATCAAAAGGACTTTGATCTCCACTTGTTTGTTGAAATATATCATCATCTGTGTCTTCATNNNTCGACTGCCTCCAAATCGTCGTCGTTATCCGACATCCTTGCAATGCACAAGAATCTTCTGAAAAACCTCGACGTGTTGACTTTCTAATGCTCCCCGTAACCAAACAATTATTTAATACTCCTGAAAATCACAACAATATTGATGTCTATTTTTATTTATTGACAACTGTTGACAACCGAATGGAAGCTTTGGGAAGGATAGTTCCATGCACAATCCGCACGGTGGTGCTTTTTGTGACGTCTAAGTGTCAAACTCACCCACTGTTAACCATTAGTTTTTGTCAAATTTGGAAGATATATTTTAAACAGAAATATGGCCTCAGTGTTATTGAGGAGCCGTTCCTTGATGAAATGTGCAGGATTATGGTAAAACTCGTCATCCTCAATTCAGTTACATAACGTCCTGATATCATAATAAAAACATAACCTCAATCCGTAGGCAAACAGCTCCTATTTCAACTACATCATTTAAGTGCAAGGACTTTAGTGACAGCCTCAACCAGAAGGAGGCTCCGCAGATCAAAAATGATTTAGCCCTTTTGAAGCCTGAGGAGGCAGCCGATAGGAAGAGAATGCAAGGTTATATAACCGTCGAAGGACCTGTGAGTGTCTTTAAATAATCAATATCCAGCGCATATTAAGGTCGTTAATACTTCAGGTTAATATTGCACCAATCACTGGTATCCCTGAGGAGCACATAAAGGGAAGAAAAGTGAGGATTTATGTGCCCGCAAAGAATTCCATGCAAAGTGGCACCGATAATATCGGTCACTGGGAAATGGAGTTTGATAACAGGGAACGTTGGGAGAATCCACTTATGGGATGGGCCTCTTCGTAAGGAGAAAAAAAAAGTTATGACAAAGTAATGAATATATCTGATTTTTCGGTTGCGATTTCAGTGGTGATCCAATGTCCAATATGAAAATTCAATTCTCTACCAAGGAAGAAGCAATTTCGTATTGTGAGAAGAATGGTTGGCAATGGTTCTTGCAGGAGGGAACTACCAAGGAAATGAGACCTAAGAGCTATGGCGTAAATTTCTCATGGAACAAGCGTACCAGGGTTTCCACCAAGTAAACTCAGTATTTAATGAATGGAATTTAATTGTACATATAAAAAGAAAATAACTTGTTGAGAATACAATAAATTAACTTTGAGTTATTTCATTTTAAACAATTTCAACGAAAGTCTAAAGAAGATATTTTTGAAACTAACCACGGATTTCAGCAACGTTTTTCCACTATTTACTTTGATAGATATAAAACAAAAACAAATTTTCTTGTTAAACAGAAACAATCTGGTGAATTTGTATCAGACATTTCGTTATTTCGGCAAAATATATCAATTTAAACAGTAATATTGAACAAATAACATGTTGATATTCTTTATATTGCCACGAAATAACATTAGAACTTATAAATCATGCATATTTTATACTTACAAATCGAAGGTGGTTTACTTCTTTCGCCACGTAATGACAGATTACTCCCTTTTCCAACGTATTGATTGCCACGTCAGCAATATTATGAGGCTGTGCAGAAATCGTCAGAAACTATGTATTTCCATTTGATTTAAAGTTTGTTTTTTTTTTGCAATTTGGTTACTATTATTAATTTTGAAGGAAAGTCAAAAGTCATCAGAATTTTACTGTTGTTATGTTATAATAGTTACGTAGTGTCTTCACTGTTCTTTTCGTGATCATGTGTTCTTTTAATCATTTCGTTTTCAAGGGTTCAACTTTATAAATCAACAATTTAATTTTGAAATAAAATTTGAATGAAACTTCATGGTTGATTTTCATGTAAAACGATGATGATAGAATCGATTCTTGAAACTGTTAATTATTTAACATTAAAATATACATGAATAGAAGATCAGTTTTATTAGTTTAAGATCTTCAGTGTTAAGATAAGAAAAGATAATATTATCAGTTTTCTATCATTAAAGTACTACCGTTAAATGCCTGGCAGTTACGTGTTAAAATTGTATTTGCAATGTCGGTGGATGCGCCGGTAGCGTAGGATCAGTTGGGATGCTATGCTATTATGATGCTATATGGTAAATGCTTCAACTTCGCAAATTTTTATTTTGAAATTTTAAAGCTAAACCGCTAAAACGCTACAATTACCAGACTTAATAATAAATTAACAATTGTATAAATGTTGAATGAAGGCAATCTAGGTATTACTACTAACAATATTATATATTATTATTATTATAATACAGCTAAAACGAAAAGACTTTGGCTTAATAGTATTTACAAGATATAAACAATATAAGTTTTTTTTTCTTTTTGTTTGTTTTGGCATTAAACACATTTGCAAGGAATAATATTAATAACCATATGGCGAAAGTAAATACCTTTATTATTTATAATAAATCAAATAATTCGATAACAATAATTACTTCAGATAAGTAAACAAGAAAAATCACTCAACGTCGTTTAATTTTAATAATGTACAATAATCTTAACATTTCTTTTCTGTTCTTGTTAACTATTAGTTTAACTTTAAAAATTCATATAAGCTTTTCTAAATATGTTTATGTTCTTTTCAATTTAATATATCTTTATAGTATATTTATATACTTTTTTTTTTGTTTTAAATTGCCTTTGGTAATTATATAATTTATATATATCGTTAATATTAGTTTTTTTTTGTCTCCTTAACAAAATTACTTTTTTGTTTATTGCATAATATATATATATATAATTGTAAAATTGCGTTTGATAAGAATTCTCTTTCTCGTGTTCTGATACACTCTATTAAAAATGGCCCCTGTATGATCTTCAAAAAGTACTAAAACACAACAGACAACGAAAAAGAATCTTGCTTATTGTCACTTAAAAACCAACAAATCAAGAACGAAATGCGCATCTGTGGGAAGATCAAATATATATATAATATATACTTTTTTCAAGCTTCTTAAATTGCTTCTCATTATATTCACTAATTACGTAAAAATACATCGTCCCCCGTCGACAATTCACTCATTAAGAATAATATGTTCTCCATTTTTGTTTGTTTGTTTGTTTAAGTTTCCGTTCGACTAAGCTTATCAATATAATAAATAGGCCCTCCATTATTATATTGTCAATACTCTTTTGCTAAGAAAAATAAATAAAAAGTAAATCTAAATTTTTCTTTCGTCTTTTGTGAGGACAACTGAGAAATATGCTTTGTGCTGAAAAATAAATTGTAAAAATATATTTTTACTTTTTTTTGTGTATTTCGAATCTAAAATGCTGTTTCCGCGAATTTTCACCGAATGCATTATAATTTTGAGCTTAATCAACTAGTTTAAAATCTATTTTAAAAAGGTGTCCATTCTGACGCGGAAACGCAACAATTGATTCGCTCTTTTTTAAGAAATTTCGTTACGGAAACGAACGTTTTTCTTATATAGTTTTGAACGAAAACTGGAAATTAAATCTATAATTATTTCCTAGTATATTTATATATATATAATTTCTTTCTCTCGAATTCATCTAATGATATTTATTTATTGATTGTACGACATTATTTTGTGTTTTCATTTTTTGCTTACAGTATGTACAGTTTAAAAATTATCTTAAATATTTTGACTTTTCATTTCATTCTTTTTTTTTTCATAATAATTGACTTTGAATGAGTATGTTTGCCTCATTAAACTAAACGTTAATAATTCAATGTGGTGTGTCAATTGCTTAATTCGTAAAACCAATAGAAGTATGCGTATCGTTTGGTTCAGATTTGGTTACTTTTAATTACTAGAAGCGATTATTTGATTTTATTTAAACCTCCCCAAAATGAAACTAAACTTTTCTTTTATATTCACTATTTCTTTTTTCGATGTTAATTCAAGTATACGATACTCGATACCTCCGTATCAGGTAAACCTATTGGTGTGAGATTATTTGTTGCTTAATGTTTCTTACGTTTGGAAGCGATTTGTATGTTTAACTCCAAGGGTTCAGATAACTTGAGTAGTTTTAGAAACGAAACAATTATTGCATTTATGTACGTGCGATTATGTACAGGGTTTACTCGCATCAGCTATCACGTCTGCATTCGGTTGTGGTGTTACGTTTGGTGTCCGGGGTCTGGAGATCGGAGGAGCTGCTTGAGCGGTGCACGATTGGTACACTCTCGTCCTCGTCTTCTTGGTTGTACTCCTCACTCTCCCGGTGCACGAGCACTTGCACTACGGTGGCTTCACTTTGCTGTCTGTGGAGAGGAGGTCGCGCAGCCGGCGTCTCCGGAGACGCTTCAGTCACCAGGATGCTGACGTCCGTGCCGTGCTTGGCTCCGGCGTCGTTGTTGTTCTTGGGTAATCCTGCTGTTTGCTGTTTGTTCTTCACCGATCGCTTTCGGCGGATGATGCTGCCGCGCTTTGGTTTGGGGTCGTCGGCCATGGCAGGGTGCAGGGATTGCGCCGTACCTGAGGGTTTAATAGAAGTCTTCTTGAGGGTGGGCGGCGAGTTGTTGTCGTCGGACGTCTCGACGGCGTCCTGGTGTCGCAGGAAGAACGGGAAGTTGTACATGCTGCGACGTCGGGGTTGATGTCCCATCGGTGGCAGCATGCCGGAATTGGGTGTCGTCGCCTCCGGGGTCGCCCCGCTAATCTTGATGCTCACATCGGCGGATTCGCGCGACAAATCCAACTCCTCTGGGTCCACGTTTGCAGCGCTCGACAGCAGGAGAAGCGGCAGGTTCAGCCACGGACCACCCAACTCACTCAGGTCGCTCGCGTCTGAGGCCCTAGAGGACTTGCGAGAGGAGGCGCGACTCCCTCGATGAACATGCAAGAATGCCGACAGGCGACCCTTCCAATCGCCCGGCGACGAGGTCTGCGTCTGCTCGTCCTCCAGTTCTTGCTGCTCTCGCTCCCGCTTCTTCCTACAAACACAAACAGAGATGCGATACAATACTATCCACCCATTGGATAATAACTTCAAAGAAGATTAAAGCGTAACTAATACAATCCCAAAACTCAAAAGAAGAAAACAATGCGAGCCCTGAATAATTCTAATATTAAAAAATAAAAATAAGCGATATCGTTCAATTGTACTTTTAACCCGAACATGCCCACTACAGACTATATTTAGATATCAAAAATTAATTTAAAAAAAAAACAATAAGTAATTATTTGATTTACTAGTATTAAATTTTGTCTGATCAACTTATTAGTAAACTTTTAACTCTTTGATGGCTGGTAGACGCATTGTACCACCTTTTGAACATGCCTAGTGGGCAATTATTATAATTTTCTAGAAAATGTCTAGAAAAGAGGAATTACCCTTTAATTTGGTTGGTATATCAAGGGATGAATCTTGATAGACCATAGATGTTGATTCAGTAGATGAAGCAGAAACAGATTTTTATATTTACAAATAATTAGTTTTTCATGTTATTTTTATTTGTAGGCATATTGGGGTTAAAGTTAATTTTGAATATGAATAAATCAGCATTGCTCAATCTAAATTAAGATAACCTAAATAAGAAGTATAACTCAATTGCAAATAGAAATTCCTAAATTCATACAAAATCCAGAAAAGGATAGATACCCTATTTTTTACTTAGCATACTTTCTATATGAAAGTGTGTAACAGATTTACAGAGAAGTTGAGAAAGTGAAAGCCCTAGATGAGAATTGGTTAATACACTACTTGATAGTTTAAAATGTAGTACCTCGATGGTGCTAAATCAGGGTGCGTAAGAAAACTCTTCAAATGTGAGTTTCTAATTATATAATTGTTATGTAGATATTATATATTTTTTTTACCAAAAAAAATAATCATAATCTTTCTTATATAATCCGGTATGGTCTAGTGGCTAGGATACCTGGCTCTCACCCAGGAGGCTCGGGTTCGATTCCCGGTACCGGAATATTTTTGGTTTGATAATGAATGATATGAAGCCATCTACAATGTAGATTCTACATGATGTAATTCTAATGGAACTTTATGTGGTAAATTTAATAATGAATTTGTTTATTTATATATTTTATGAGGGCATGAGGATTTCAGTTACTGATTCAATAGATTACGAAAGATTTTGAATTTGGAGTTGCAAAAAGCATGTGTTTTGTAGAATCTGTTAGTACTGAAAATCCTGAATCCCTTTTCTGCGTAAAAAAACATAACATACTTAGGCTGATATAGGTGTTTCGTTTTTGGTCGAAGATTGCATTAAATTTGGTGTGGAGTGAATGGAATTTAAGAAAAAGCTTTGCACCTGCGGATGTTATAAAATTGTGAAATTAATTAAAATGTAATTAGTGATCGGTGCTTTTAGCTCTAATTTGGCGAACAAGAGAAGAAAAAGTTGATTCGAACGTCATTTTTTATGATCCGATATGGTCTAGTGGCTAGGATACCTGGCTTTCACCCAGGAGGCTCGGGTTCGATTCCCGGTATCGGAAATCCTTTTGCTTTAAGAATCTCTTAATTTGCATGAAATAGGCTATTAAACTGATGGCCGATTCATGGTGTTCACATACCTTACGTAATCACGGAACGCTTTCTGCAGAATCTTCGCCGCTTTATCCTGCCTCTTCCAGATTCTCGTCGACGAGACTATCTCTAATTCTTTTCTAGTCGGAAATTGCTTTTTGAATTTTATGTCCATCTGGTCTTGTAACTACACGTTGAAAAAAATGTGTCCATTATTTATATGATTACATAATATGAATGAAACTGTATACCTGTCTAAAGTTATCCGTTTCCTCTACGTGTCCTAAAACATGCTTGACCAGAGAATGCAATATGTCCAAGCAATGGATTTTATTCCCTTTCGCTATCGGCAAATTGAAGCTGACCAAAGCAACAGTATTAGGTTTGGAAATACCCAAAGGAGGATCCAATGATGCAATGAAATCGGACAGCTGAGAAAACCCGATGAACTGCGTTGCGTGAGGATCATATCTGGATGATAAAATAGGTTTAAGTAAACGATTCAAATGTTTTAACAATTAACAATGTTTACTTTGACCATCTTATGTAGAACATCTCTAGGTCATCCTCGACAATGCCAATCTCCTCCTCTTGATGCGCCTGATTGAAATTCTCCAGGATTATAGCTATGTACATGTTGATGACTATCATATAGTTGATGATGATGAAGCTACTGAAGTAGATTATCGATAAGAGGGGATATCCGCAGTCCCCATTCGATTGCCTCTTGAAAGTAGGATCGCAATCTGGAGGTGCTATCATCAGCGACTCCAAGACATCATTCCATCCTGCCGAGGTGATAAGTCTGAAGAGAAGATGCATCGATCTCCCGAATGTTTGAAAGTTCACCATATCATCTAAGGCACCTTGTTGCCTCACGTGCCCAAACAGAAACATGCCAATAATGGCATAAATAAATGTTATCAAAGCCAAAAGAGCTCCGATGTTAAACAAAGCCGGCAACGAAACCACCAATGCAAATAATAATTTCCTAATTCCTTTAGCGGCCTAAAAAAATACAAAACCCCACAATTAACCACACAAATAATCACCTTGAAATTGGTACAATTACCTTAATTAATCTTAAAATTCTACCAATCCTAAAAACTCTCACTACTCTTAACAATGTCGGCGAGACGGGAAAGTCTATCATTATATCTTCCATGAGAATACCGAATATAGAAGCCAGTACCAGTAAAAAGTCGAAGACATTCCAAGGCACCGTGAAGTAGTGATGCCTCAAACCGATTATCTTTACGATGGCTTCTAATCCGAAAACTGTGGTGAAGAAAGCGTTGCTCACTTCCAGTATGAAGAAGACAGCATGAGGCTGATCGTAATGCTCGATTCCCATGCTCAACATGTTCAGAAAGATCAGCACGAAAATTGCTATTTCGAATCGACGCGAATTCGAAAGGTCATAGAACATCGCCAAAAACGGATTCAGAGGTCTTCTTATAACCTTCTGCGGTTTCTTCCTCCCCAATTTCTTCATCGCTGTATAATAATGCTTTTGACTTTCAGTTAGGAACATTTCAAGTACTCCTCCCTCGTACTGAAATATTAATAATTATAGTGTCTTTTTAACAGCAGTTTCAGATCAATAAACTAACCTTCTTTTTTAACATATTGAAATTATCTATAATAACTCCAATGAACAGGTTGAGGGTGAAGAAAGAGCCGCAAACGATGAAGATCACGAAATAAATGTAAGCGTAGAGATTTGCTTCTCGCTGAGGTTGCAAGTTGACGCCTCGAGCGTCCACTGCATCAGCCATGACTTCCATCCATCCTTCAAATGTGGCCTTCAGGAATATATGTGATATTAAAGTTTGGTCACTAAGTTACATAAGTCATAACAAATTACCACTTGAAAGAGGGCCAGATACGCTATGCCAACGTGATCGAAGGATATCTTCGAATTGATCCAACTGAAATTTTGTTCACTGCATTCCCACTTGTTATTAACAATCTGCAATTGAAAAAATATATTTGTTAATTACTTAAATAATTTCAGTGAGTTTTGGTACTTACATGAATAGGTAACAATTCGCCGGTTTCGTCAACGCATTTATAAAATTTGCCACTAAAAAATTGCACCCCCATAATTGAAAAGATTAACCAAAACACTAAGCATACTAGCAAAACATTGAAGATACTTGGTATGGCATACATCAAGGCGTTCACTACAATTCTCATACCTTGCCATCTACTAATCGCCCTTAAGGGTCGCAAGGCTCTTAATGTACGCAAAGATCTTAGCACTTTTAAATTTTCGTTCTCTTCAATTAATAAACTGAACAGTGAAACCTAAAATTACAGAACTCAGTATATCTGCACACAAGTACACCGCTTAAAACTTACAAAAACAATTAGGAAATCTAACAGAGTCCAGAAACTGGTGAAATATTTGTGAAATCCCAGAGCAATCCATTTCAAGACCATCTCAATGACGAAGATCATCGAGAATGCTAAGTTGGTCCAATAGAGCACTGCCTTCAAGTTTGGATTTTCGTCTAAATGGATATCTTCAAAGCACAAGGTAACACTCGAAGCAAAGATTAACACCAGGATGAACCATTCGAATGCTGGTGTATCGACGACAGAAACAACAGCTGTTCTACCTTGGGTCCATTTTAGACCGACCTTCGTTTTCAGACACTTGTTCCAGCAACCGCACCTGAAATTTGTACGCAAGTTAAGGACGTCGAAATTCGGTGCACGAGTCAAATACTTTTGGTAACAATGTTGAGGAAAACAATCGGGTGGTGCTTTTGGCTTTTTGTTTCTACCAAAATAAGGGAAGTTGCCCATACCATCGATAAACTGCCCTTTGGAATTTCTCCTCCCTCCGACTGTTAACTCATCCACGTACGAAACCAAAGCCTGTCCAAGGTCCTTACTTCTTTGCGGACACAGAGCTGACTCTTCGTCATTCTCTGTATCAGCCGAAGCTCCGCGATTCATATTTTTCATTTCCACACTCTCTACGCTTTCATCTAGATACAATAAAATTTATTTCATTTAAATTTTCTAAAATTATTTATATTTTTCTAAAATACTGACGTACCTTTCGTTGCCTTTACAGTAGGTCGGTTAGCTGAGATTCTCTTTTGCTTCAAGTCGATACTCAATTGTTTATTCCTTAAAACTAATGGCTTTTTCTCGTAGCATTCTCCTTCCTCAGATGCTCCATTTATTAATGTTGAATAACCTTTCACCTGAGACATCTGTCCATCGCCTCTTTCTACTTCCTATTTACAGAAAAAAAAAATGCAATATTATCAACAACATTTTTTTGTCTTTTCTTCAGCATTCTGTCTCATATAGACAATAAGCTGAATTAGTAGGTTTGATTAAAAAAATGAATCCTTGAAAGATTGTACTTTAAATATAATTACTTGATATTCTGGTGGATCATAGCTTATGATCGATATTGGTCTGTTCATAGCTTCCTGATAGCTTCTCTTGTCTCTAGGAAAAGCAACCACTGTTTGTAAAGCTTTAGTTGTCCTACCCACTGGAAATGATATTAAATTAAACAAATATAACTTTTAGTGATCATAGAGTGATTACCTTTTTGGAAGGCTTCCTCTTCTGCGTGTCTCTGCATAACTTCACGGACAATCTGCTCCAATCGAGAATTATTTTCATTCTGATGTTGTTCTTGCATCCTCTGTTGCCTTTTCTTCCTAACGAGCTCCCTAATTCGTTCGAAACTCTGTGCCAATTTCGACTCATCGCCTACTTCCTATAGGTTTTAAATCACAACTTTATTAATACGATCATTATATAAACAAAACAGATACACATATTAGTACACACTGCAAGTACAGACACAAATGCGTGTAGCACATTACAGTTTCGTTATAATTAATCCAGTTACAATAGATTTAACAGCATTTGTGCATACGTAAAATTGCAATAAAGACATTTTCTTCACCCGGTGTTTCATTTAGAAAGTTAATATTGTAAATGAAATTCTAAAATAAGTAATATTTGAGCTTCTGAAAGTGTAGAAAGTATATACATTTCGGACATGAAACACCGTGTGTTTTTGGTGATAGTCTGCAAATGACAAAGAAAATGAGGCTAAAGAAAAAGACGGAGTAATGAGTATTAAAATTAAATAATGGTCATGCAGCATGCAAAGTATACATTACGTAGACGTCACGCCACAAACACAAAAGGAGCATTGCTTGAAACTTACCAGCAGACACCAAATAGTATCTTGCCTCTTACATAACGTCTCTCTCGTTTAGATAATTATATATATTTACGTATACAATAAACAAAAAGAATAGTAAATAAAATTAATGCTACGGGGGGGCTAAAAAAAAGGTTCTAACTTCAAAATTATAATTCTAATACAATCCGAATATCAGGAACAAAGAAATGAACGGAATTGCTTCAAAAGCGAATTTCGATAAGGAAATTTCGAATTTAAATCCTCCTCCATACTTTTCCATTTTATTTTGTCCTGTTATTTATGGTTTAGATACATGCCATAGTTTACTTGATTTCAGAAACATGAAACGCGCTTTTGATTTATTTCAGGCTGAAATGGACTGCGATCACGATTCCGTTGAAACCACGTAAACTATACAAATATTCTCTGCAATTATTTTTCTCTATTTTCTTTTTTTTTTTACCGTCGAAGGTTAATAACTTCTGTTACTAATGAACCATTCTTAACTTTGTTTTCTATCTAATCAAATGTGTGTATAATATTCGCTAATAATCGCAAGATACTACGAAAGTGCTGTATGGTAAGTCGTTAAAACACTCCCCTTTATGAATACCTCCTTCCTCGTTTTCAATTCTTCGGAATTGAAACTGTTAAGCAACAGAGCCAAGAAGAGGTTGAGGACCATGAAGTTACCCATTACTAAAGTTGGTAGGAAGATTGCAAGACATGTACCAGGGCCCTAAAAAAGAAGAATTAAAACGTAAATTTACATAAACACAATTTAATAGAAAAATATATTTGAAATAATGAATAAGTATATAAATTGTATAATTTAATCGTAAAATAGTATAATATACAAACAATTTCTTTTTTATCTAAAAATTTAGGATGAAGCCTAGGGGACAGCTAACTTACTAAAGTTACGCAAATACATTATATACATTTTAATCTTATGAATTGTTGGGAGTTATTTTTTTCTAGTATGAGGGTAGAATAATTATTGGACTTTAAATTTGGATAATAAGAGGAATATTTTACATTGTTGGAATTGAAAACAAACAATAATTAATTGTGTAAGTAGAAGTAGAAAATTGATGAATTAAAGTTGATTTTTCTGAAGTAGTATTGGTGATTATTGATCACATGAAATGCAGAAATAGAATGTTTTCATGGAAAGAAGGTAGATACTGTATTCATGTGTTTAAGGTGTCGAAGGAATCCTTCGGGCCGTTAAATTATAGAGTCTAATGTAATAAATGGTTTCAGCCACGTACCTCTGTGCTTTCAGCTCGCATGCAATCCCAGAGGGGTTCGATCCATTCACCGCACAGGATGCGAAAGATCATCATGAAGGAATGAAAAAAGTCGGTGAAATTCCACCTGAAAAAGCAGAAACATCCCGCGTTTCATATCTAGCCAACACCACAAATACACTTCTCCTTTTTCTTCTGTATATGTACAAACGGTTTTCTCATCAATACCTGGGAACTGGATCCGGAGCGAACTTATCCGGCGTGTAATCTTTGGAGAAGAGCTGCATGCCGATGACGGCGAAAATGTATATGACAATAACCAAGACGAACGTGAGATTTCCCAGAGCACCGATCGTGCTTATGATTATGCTCAGGAGAACTTTCATTGTTATCCAACTTTGGGCTAACTTTAATACCCTCAACTGTAAGCGTGTGTATGTGTAAATGGAACAGAAGAAGAAGAACAGAGGGTGGCGAAAATTAGATTAGAATGCATACGTTTTAGGAATTCAATTGCCTCACCAAACGCAATCCTCGAAGGACAGACAGTCCGTCGACCAGCTCGAAGATCAAATCCAGCAAACTCGCAGATACTATAATCAGATCGAAGATGTTCCAGCCGCATTGGAAAAAATCCTTGCTCAACGCCATCAGCTTCAAACAACATTCTAATGTGAATATCGATGTAAACACCTGAAACAATAAACATACATTCTATTAAGTAACTAGTAAATCAACCGTTAGAACAAGTTTTCTAATGCAGTAAGTAAATTAAATTAGTTTCGATTGAGATGAAGATTAAAAGTCCATTAGAACTGATAAAATATTTTTCTTGAATTAAGTATTTATTGAGAAGTCTAAGAAGAAATGGCTTCGATTAAAATTCTACACAACATGACAAATATTATTGAAAAATATATTTATTTAATATTTAATTATAACTTATTCTGATAGTTCCACTTTCAAAATAAAACTTTTGTAATTAGTGCAGGGTTTAAAAAAAAAGCTATTTTTTTCCTAAAACAGGATTTGGAATACGGGTTAAATGTATTCTGAATTTGTATTAATACATAAACTTGTTGCTTAAAATCAAATGAATTCCGAAATGATGTCGCATTAAACTGCTGGACAACATTCGCAAATTGTATGGAAAGAGGATGAGGATGCGGACAACTCTGTTGGAAACGTTCCTTTTATATAGCTGCTCGTTACTTCCTGACAAACATAACTCCAATATAATTTGTCATCACATTGATAAATGTGGAAAACATGTTACAATTACAACAACAAACAAAGACTTGTTGATTATGACACTTTATGTATTTTATTTGTAAATTTTACATTTAGATTCAAATATTGGGGAAAAAACCTTTTTGCCATTGATTAGACTGTTTGTACAGCCGATTTAGATTTAATCCCGATTTAGTGTCCCTATCGCAATCCCACGAACGACGAGAAAAAAATCTAGTATTTTAAAAGATTATCCGATTTTTGCAAACCCCACCAACTTAATTCGTCGTAGAGAATTTACTTCAAGTCTTTTAATAAAGAAGTTATTAGTTAGATCTTAAAGTCTTAGCGTTTTCCCGGACTAGCAGCACTTGCACTTAAAACTTACAGTTTATTACATAATTTTATATTCGAAAAGTAGATGTAGAAAAAAAAAAGTTGACGTTGAATTAAATAAAAAGAATTTGTATTTTTGAAAGTATTATATGGTTATTTTTAAAACAGTTTAATAATTGAACAAATATTAACCAAAATGTATGCTTTGTGAAAAAATATAATTGAAATATTAAATTTACCATATTTGCGTTGATGAATTGAGTAATTTTTACATAATAGTCTCAAAAATAAAAATAATATTTAATAAGTAATATCCATTCAATTATTTCTAATACCTGAGAGACCTTTGGTCAAATGTATCTCTTTCTTTTGTATTTTGATATTTTTGTGTGTCATAATTTTACATTTGGTTACTTTTTATTTGAATATAAAGTTGTATTTTTCGTTCCGGGATTTATTTTTGTAATTTTGCTTCATTTATTTGTTATTTTACTCAGGGTTTTTACTCAGGATTCTTTTCTTATTGTGTGTAAAAGTTAGTAAAAAAATCTTTCCAAAATATTAACGTGGTTTCCTATCAAAATATTTAAGTTGATGAGGACATTACAGACCGGGCATCTTTGAAAACTTGTTGTTTTCAGTGAAAGTTCAGATTTCAGTAATCTGGGGTTCACGGAAAGGTAGTAAACCTATGCATTTTTAAGTTTTGCAGTGAGAATAACTGGAAATTAGTAGTTTACACCGTCTAGAGATGTACATAAATTGTACTACAATTATACTTTTGCATATGCAAACACTGCGTGAATAATTGACGTCGATGTTTAAAAGGAAAACTTCCCTCCTCGGATCCATGTATTTCCCGTCCCTCTCTTTTTCGCTCCTTACGTAATCGTCATAAAACAGATGAAAGAAGAAATAAAAAAGTGAAACATCCATCCCCGGGTCAGTTTTAATCTTGTCCAGCTGCTGGCGTAGCTCTGTGTTAATTTGCTTAATTTAGTCCTCGGGCGCTCCGAATGATCAATATAAAACGAATTTCATATAATTTGTATGTTTCGGTTTGAACAATGTTCAACGTCGGTCTGCTCTTTATTCAATTTCAACAGTTTTACGTAATTCGATTTGATTAGCAAACCGATCAACTTCATTATCTTCTCTCTGTCGACATTGTTCCAAACGCTTTTGGTCTCATCTGTTTATGGAATCATCTGTTACATAAAGTTTTAGTATAATTTATCTATTTTTATTTTTTGGTATTTAGGACAATTAGTTATTATTTTAATTATAAATCGATTAATTATGATAATAGACATTGTAAACACACTGTAAATATTAAACTGAAATTTGAGAAAAGAGTTTTTAATTGTTAAATAAGTAAATTAATAACTAAATGCTTAGATAATAATTAAAATGAAATTTAATTTGTATTCGTAATACATTGTTAGTTATCATTAAAATCATTAAAAAACAATTTTTATTATTATAAAAATTTACGAAAATCAGTAGTCAAAAACTGAAAATTTTTATTATATATTTATGATTACTGACTTATATAATAATAACGTTAGGTTCCACCGAGATTTGAACTCGGATCGCTGGATTCAAAGTCCAGAGTGCTAACCATTACACCATGGAACCTGTTTGAAAAAAAATAACGGTTTTCAAATTTAAAATTTTTATATAGGCAACCAAAAATGCAAATTCAGCAAATGTTAAGTTATCAGGAAAACGTAGGTTGATTAACATTGACTTACGATAACAAAGTAATTAGCATCTTTCCATTTCTGTTGATAGCTGGTAGTTACCTACCAATTATCAATAATCAATATGTATTGTATACACTGTATACTTCGGGGTTCTTTTAAGTGCAAAAGGGAGTCTCGGACCTAAAAGTTTGAGAAACACTGTAATAAACTAAATATTTTACCTATATTTTAAAATCTTTCATAAATTTACCACTAAACTTAAAATTTTGTTTTTCTCGAACCACTACCATGATTTTCTCCATGAAAATAAGATTTTTAAATATGAAAAGGTGCTTGCACTTATTTTTGCTTTTGTAAACATGAAACGTAATAATTCAAAAATTGCAAAATAAAGTAACATCAGAATATAATAAAAACAAAAATTGCAACAATGCGGACCACAATTATATTAGAATCTTTACTAATATATATTAAATAATAATTGTCTTTTATTAACATAGAAGACGACAATCGGCAGCTAGCGTTTTTTTTAGACTTAACATATTTTATTTAACATTTTTAAAGACGACATATTCAAAAATATTATTTATGGGACAAGATTATCGCCTGCGTATCAAAAGTTTGTTAAATATTTTAATTGTTGTGAGAAACAAGTTTAGTTCACTTATTTCAAAAAGTTGCAGACTCTTGTATTAAACTATAAGTTGTTAATACTATAAATGTAAAAAAAAATATAATCAAGTCGTTAGAATATATTATGTGTTATTAAAATATAATTGTATAATTATTCTCAATAGAATTTTATATAATTTATATAATAATTACAAAACGTATAGGTTCCACCGAGATTTGAACTCGGATCGCTGGATTCAAAGTCCAGAGTGCTAACCATTACACCATGGAACCTGTTACTGGTTTAACAAAAAATATTGGAACGAAATTACGGATAGGCAACCAGTGTTGCTGAGTAAGCAATTATCAATGTTTTTAAACAATAAAAAGTATTTATCAATGATCAAAGGTCGATGAAATAATTATCGCGAAAATATTTGCACCTTTTTTTCTATTATACAAGGTTCCATGGTGTAATGGTTAGCACTCTGGACTTTGAATCCAGCGATCCGAGTTCAAATCTCGGTGGAACCTAAAATTTTCGCTCTACACAATAATTAATAAATTGAGATATTAATTTACATTGATTAAAATCTCTCGATATGACGTGAATTAAAAAGAACATTATTCTTTTGCATATTTGGAATAAAACGAATATTTTGCTTAAAACATTTGGCTTGGAAATATGTTAGAAAATTTATTTTGTTAAAAGATTCAATCGTTTTTCTTAATCTAAAACCGGACTAATCAAGAACTTTATTTAAAAAAAAACGCACAAAAAAAAACTGATAATTTATATATAATAAAACGTTAGTGAATCCGGATTATGTGAGGTATTTCTGTATATAATTTTTGTAGTTAAACTTTCGTTATTCTCGCGGCGTCTGTGAGACGCCATAACTTTTAAAACTGTAAAATTAGGACTTCATACTGACTGAGGATTTTTAAAGGTGTAGTAAAACATGCCAAATCTGTTTTGTATTATTAGAAAGAAATTTTATATAATATAAATGAACAGTTTTTCACTTTATAGAATGAAATTTTTATATTATATTTAGATCCTCGAATAATCCGGTTTCAAACAGTCCGGGATGTTGACGGAAGCGATTACCCGCACTATGCGAGATATTGCTGTATATAATAATAATAATTACAAAATGTATTTGTCCACAATATTTCATGTTATTTTCTATATTTTCTTCCTGATACACAGAAAATCCGTTTACCGAAATTGAATGATTTGTTAATACGCGCGATAAATAAAAACGTTGTTATATCCTTTCTGTAAAAATACTGCAGAAACTCCAATCGGGTGCCGTTCCATACATCCATAAATCGTATTGGAATTTCGCGAGGGATGGCGCTCCACAGTTTATCGAGCTCGTAAATTACATAACAGTCGCAGACTAATTATTAGTTTACCTTTTTAAAAAAAAAATATTCGTTTCTTTTTTTCCGTTTCAAAATGAATAAAATGAAGTTTGCGCGCAAGAGGGGTGTCATTTCAGAAAGTTTCGGACAGCGATAATTGAAAATTGTTTGAACCAGTTGGATGTAAAATTAATTACAGCTCAAATATTTTCAGCTAATATTATGCTTTAAACACAATGCACAGCTTATATTAAAATATTTACGTAATCATTAATTTATTTTATATATAGATCAGTGGCGGGCGGGTGACTTTTCAAAAGCTCAAAGAGCTTTTTACATTATACAACATGTAGAACAAGTATGCAAATAGCGTAAATAGTCGATTGAAGCAAAGTCAGGAATCGCATCCACTAGTAGTAGTGAAGCAGTTGTAAACTTGAGCCACGAGATCTAGAAAACTATGAAATACGTATGCGCGAAGTAAGCGTATCCTTAATTCGAATACCTGGCATATGTATATAAGCAGTGGGCAGATTCCCACCGTTGCGTAACAAAAGAATAAAACTACACGAAATATGATAGGATATGAAAATACTCTTGACATTTTGAAATGTCTCTATAAATAAAAGACGTAAGTCATTTATTACGTCTACTTCCAGAAATACCTCACATAGTGCGGTTTTGGTCAGTGTGGATTCACTATAATACGAGTTGAAAATTTCAAAACAAACTAAATTTTAATTGAGCAAAACTTTAGCTCTCGGAGCCGTATTTGTCCACAGTCGCTATATAACAAGGGGGCTACCTTTTTGGAGCAAAGAGCGATTTGTCAGTTAAAAAAGTTTAGGGAGCCGCACGTAACCTTTCAAAGGCTATTTTTATTAGTAAAATGAATTTATTAACATAGGAGCCGCAATTTATTATCAAAAGAACCGCATGCGGCTCTGAGAACCGTACTTGTCGCTATATACAGTTTCTGTGATATTTACTTTTATGCAGTTATAAAGTCCTTTATTTGTCAGGTTTCAAACAGTGCCGAATATTGGCTTGCAACATAGTGCGAATGTTGCAAATTACTGATGTCTTCCAACCCTTTAAAGTTCAGTGATTCCAGTCCACGAACAAAATTGTTTTCTAAAGTTTCACAAGAAATAAAAAAAATGTTAATTTTAATTACCTAGTGGTACATTATTGGAACCACATGTTTTTATAAAAACTATAAATAAATTTGTATGTCTATTTTGTATAAAAAATTCAAGAAACATGCTTGTAATACAAAAATATTTTCAAATAAATTAATTGAATAAAATTAAATAACTTTAATTATTATTAAACTTTGTATTAAATTAGACATTTATTTTTTGTATTTCTTTTTTCAATGAGATTAGTATTTGTGAATTTGACGACACAACATGACGAAGGGATAACAGGGTGACTGGATTTAAATGATGAAGGTCGAAGACTCTTTTTTATTGAAAGAAATCTGTTTAAATTGTTATGAAATTTTTGACATATTTCTTTAATATTATAAAGAATAAAATAAAGGAATATACGATTTTTTTTTTAATATTACAAATATTCCCGGTGTAATCCAAAATTATGTTAGTTTAGTTTGTGGTAATTTATAGTAAGAAGTAAAAACAATGATGATAATTCAGACATTTCAGTAATGATTAAATTTTGTTAATGAATACTAATTTATATGAAGATAAACTTATACCAGATTTATCTCTTTTTAAATGTATATTAAATTGTCATTTTATTTTTACTTACATTTTTTTGGAGTAAAAATTTATATTTGTTTTCTTTTATTTATTTTTATATACAGAAAGAAAGAAATTCTTTTCAGCATTTATAGTTTTTAATTTATATTTTATTTAAATTTAAACATATTTCATGGGCACAATTTATATTATTTTGTTTTGATTGACTTTGAATTTACGTTTTTTTATATTTATACCAATAAAATATGATTTTTTTTCTATTACAATAGAACACTTGTTTTAATTTCAATATTTGTCTACTATTGTTTTTATTGAAATATATGTGCTTGAATCACTATGATTACAATTACAAAGAATCCTGAAAAAGTACAAAGAAACATACATATTGATTTTAATATATAAATTTTTTAAAATTTATAAAAATTTAAAAATGAATTGAATGGGTACAAATAGTGAAAGAAAGATGAGTCGTGATGGCCACACCTTTATATAAAATTTAATGGAACGACGGGATCCCTTTTAAGTGTGCACAATAAACACGATCTTTTTTCATGTCACGTTTACCATCAAGAATCGGTCTTCTTCTTTTTTTTTGCATACCACTTCAATCTCTGGAGTAAGGTTAATTTATCAAATCAGATGTCTACTGAAAGATACGTGTCCGCATTTCAAGAAATCGAAGTTCAAATATTTGCTTTTATTGAAAGCAATTTTATCGAGTTTTCACATGTTTTTTCTTCAGTTGATTATCGTATTTTTTTAAATATAATGGAGAAATAAAAAATATTGTATAATAATAATAACTGTCACCCGTTTCAATAAAAAAAAATAATTTCAATTAATCTAATTTCAATATTTTAACTTTGAACGCGTATTACAGCAATATGGATAAAAGCACAGGAATATATCTATACATGCTGGATTCCCCAAACATTCAGCTTTCATATGCATTATTGGATTCATTTTATGTATTATACTTTTCGAGTAAATCAATGAAATGTGAAAACACTGCTTTTTCGAGCATTTTTTAAAATTTGAACACGAATTGCAGCCAAACAGCTAAAACCACAGTAATATATCGATATTTTCTAGATTCCCCAAACATTCAGCTTTCATATGCATCTATTGGCTTCATTCTATCTATTATAGTTTTCGAGAAAATCAATGAAATGTGAAAACACTACTTTTTCGAACGTTCTAATTTCAATTATTCAAATTTGAACGCGTATTACAGCATTAAATGAATAATTAAAGAATATAGTAAATTAACAACATTTATTTTCACGATGAAATATTACAAACAATTATAATATTTATAGAAAATAATGATTCAAGAAATAAAAAAAATATACATCTTTTTTCCATAGAGTCAACGTAATAATAGAAATTAATATTTTCTTTGCAGATTTTGTAAACATTATAAACATCTCAAATACAATACAATAACCATTCGAAGAACCGAGAGCAACAGATCACAAAATCAATTCGTCGTCTTGCTGTTGCTGGCTGGCTCCATAGTATCATCATTAACTTTTTCTTCATCAATTCATGTAATAAAAATACGCTTTATTTCTCCACCCTCCGTCACTTAATAATAAACATTTCATACTCAAAAATATATAGATATATCTCATGTATGTGCCTCATAAAAATAGTGTTCTAAATCTTGTGTTTTTGTCTCTTCTTAACATTTATATAATAGTTAAATCCACATTCAATATACATATACATATATATAAATAAACTTTCTCTAATTACCATTTACAATCGTAACAAATGAGCACACTTTAAATTCATTCAATAATAGACGGTCTCCCACCTCTGTTCGTTCGTTTGTTTTTCTTCATATTATTTTTTTTTTTTTGGACTAGTTTCAAGTACT